CCAAGAGATATTCTTTATAAATTTAAGAGTCAACCACGCCTACCTAAAACGGCTCGTTCTAACACGCCCCCACATGTCTACATCACTATGTGGGAAGATTTGCATAACGCCGCCCAAATGTTCACGCAAAGAAAGAAGGCGTAACTTTTATTCTCGCTGTAGTATTGTTGCTGCTGCCATGTCGTGAAGACGCTGTGTTTCGTTGTGAAAGCGAAGCTACTTTGTTTGGTCTTCCAAAAGAGGACACGACTAGAAATCAGTGGTTAAGTTGTATTTACAACACTGTTCCAGAACACTTCAACCCAAATATTCAGATGTGAGCAATGCATTTTGCGGAGGATGAGGACTGTTTCCTGTGAGAGTAGCCTACAATGCCGGTGTCTGTTTCTATAAAGTGGGGCAGTTCTAACTTTGCAAGGATAGTCTGGCACTTCTGACTCACAGCCTGTAAGTACGTTTTTTATATTTAAAGGATTTGCCACTGACGATTCAAACGCGAGTTTTGAGCAGTGTAGAGTAGTGCTTGTTGTTTGTCGTTTCTCCAGACATGGTTTTATGTTTACGCTGCACGATACACAACGCAACGCGTACAAAGACAGTATAAGTCATTATAATCAGTAATTATGTCCCCACTGGATGCAACAAATGCTTCGTTTATAATGGGTTTTAATGTTTTTGTCTCGTCGCTCCGGCCTGACAGGGCATCATCACAGTATGGTAGGGGCGTAACATTTCTGTCTCACGCTTGAGGTATTCGGCCAATCACAACGCACTGGATAGCTGGCCAATCAGAGCACACCTCACTTTTCAGACTGATGAGCTTTGTAAAAATTGACGCGTTTCAGAAAGGCGGGGCATAGAGGAGAAACAATAAGTGAAGTGAAGTGGCATGTGGCCAAGTATGGTTACCCATACTAGGAATTAGTGCTCTGCATTTAACCCATCCAAAGTGCACACACACAGCAGTGAACACACACCCGGAGCAGTGGGCAGCCATTTATGCTGCGGCGCCCGGGGAGCAGTTGGGGGTTCGGTGCCTTGCTCAAGGGCACCTCAGTCGTGGTATTGAAGGTGGGAGAGAGCGCTGTACATTCACTCCCCCCACAATAATGTACAGTATGTGGAAAATAATGTGTTTTCTGAACCATAAACACATTTCATTACACCAAATACACAAAATAATGTTATTTTTAGCAACGTCATATGACCCCTTTAAGCTTTATTTTAGTTTTAGTTATTTTAGTACATCCAGTTACACTAAATGCAAATGAGAAATGTTTAATTTTGTGAAATTTTATTTATTAGTTGGGGGTTATCATTTTGAGTTTATTTATTTAAAGAATACTGTATAATGAATTTAGTTAAGTAAGTTTATTATTTAAATAATATTTATGTAGAAGAATCTTTGTTTTTAGTACTACTAGTTAAGAGTATTAGTTAAGATTCTTTAAATTATCTTTAATATTTTGGCAATATCTTTAGTTTTAACATTTACTAATAACTTTTTATTTCTATATGTTATATCTATCTATCTATCTATATATATATATATATATATATATATATATATATATACACACAACAAAGAATAGTTGTATATTTATTAAATAACATTAACAAAGATTAATAAATCTCGTAAACAATATATTGCTTATTGTAAGATAATGTTAATGCATTAATGTTAACAAAAGGAGTTTTATTGTAAAGTGTTACCAATATATTTATTGATTTTTAATTCACAAAACATTTTTTTTTTAACAAAACAGCTTATAGTTTTATAAAGTTATTTTTCCTTTTAAACTATGACTTGTGTATTAATTGACTCTTCTTATGTTCTCAGGTATCGTGATTTCAGGCATCCTCCCAGTCACCCTAATCAGTATGACTTCAGCATTTATCATTGGCACGTTATTGCTGCCAAACTGGCTTTTATGATTGTGGTTGAGGTAAGTGACTAGATGTGAGACAACTAATGATAACTTAATAATACATGTTTGTTCTGTTGTTGTAAATATGCGGTTTTCTTCTCCTCGCAGCACATTGTTTATTTCACCAAGTTCATGCTGTCCTACATGATCCCGGACGTGCCGGAAGCTCTGAAGGAGCAGATCAAACGGGAGCGTTACCTGACGCAGGTCATCCTGCACGAAACCAACATCAAACACTTCAAGGAGCTCATGAAGCCCATCGCTGACAATCTGCAGAACGAGATTGAGGAACCAGAGTTGGATCTGACACTGTGAAGCCTTAAAATGCCAACTCATGTCAAACCTGAAACTACATCTGTTACCGTCCTTCACCTTAATCCAGTGTTACTCAAAGCTTTAATTTGTGGCTCACATGGCAGATGGCAGTAAATAATGCGATTATATGATCAATACAGATATTTAATAAAAACATTAAAAACAAGCAGGGCTATAACTAAGCCATTAAATAAACTCACACCGTGTCTGCACCAGACACGAGCGTCGTGGTGCAACGCCACAAAAGACAATAGAACCCATTATAATTATGGCCCTATGATTTCTGCGATGCGGAAAATCCGGACGGAATCGCGGAATCCAGTCATAAAAACAGAATTGACTGTATAACGCGGAATGTCACGGTATTTGTCAAAGTTTGGGTGAATAAATCAAAAGTAGGTCATTACATCTTAAATTAAATCGCAATATTGACTGGTATCTGTAAATATTAAGCTGCAAAAATACCATTTAAATATGAATCCTGCGTGTCTCTTTATGAATGAATGGCACAGACGCACGGTTTCGTTTACTACACACATACTGAAGCGCGCAGTGCTTTCAGCGTCTGCTGTCTCGCTAAATGAGAACATAAATAATTTATATTTAAATATAGACTAGAAAGATATTTAAACTTGCTCTGCCCTTACGTCCATGACATTGACTTGCTACCGAGTTGTCTTTCCAGCTCTTAACGCCAAATGTGCTCTTGGATGGTTTGATACGTGATGGGCTAATGTAGAAGCAAATAACTTAAAATAACTTTTAAAAATAAACCCCTTTGTATTGCATTGCATATTGTATGTTCAGGGATGACAGATTGAGAAGCAGACATGCTATTTATGACTAGATGTAATTTTTTATACTTTGCAGTAAAAGTGGCTCTCCTATTAACTTTGTCCTATAAGTGCGGCTCTCATGAAAAAAATAGTGAAGATCACTGCCTTAATCCATGAACCGCACCCCATCTCAGACTCCAATTCAGGCTTAAACCTCAAACAAACCCGACCAAGAATGTTTGCATAGTCATTTTCATTTTAGCAGACGTGTTGTATATTATGATCACTGTACTGGTATCTGTATCTGAAAGAAGTGCTTTAATTATCACAGATAAAACAGGAGAAGGATCTTCAACCACTATGTTTAATATTTTCAGAAATTTCTCTTTATGGGTGAGAAACATCATTTTCATTTTCAGTTTGTTGCGAATGGCCACTAAAAATCATCTGCCTCGGTTCTGACAATCCATTCAGTGCATATTGTTACATATAATATTGGCATATAATATATTATCAAAACCAGATATGTGATCTTTAACCACTTTTTATTAAATTAATGAAACTATATATTTGATATATATAAATACATACTAAAATATATTTTTATTTTTAGTATTATGCTGACACATCAAGTTTTATGTAGAGCTTTTATAAAGTAAAATAAACAGAGCACGTAATGCTTTTTTCAATACACCTATACAAACAAAAACTGTAATACCATGTTTTTTTGGACATGTACCATGGCATCTGGAGTGCTATATGAATATGGTGTTTATAATTATTGGTGTATTAGGGTAATATGGTATTACCTTTGATAGCATCATTTTACCATGGTACTGTCACACATGATTATGTGAGCATAAGATGCCATAAATTAAGCTTTTTAATATTATTTTAGCCCAGCTAACATTTCAATCATGCTCTGTATGTTTGTGAATATTACCGTATTTAGTTTGTTACCAATTTGTAAAATATGATGTTTACATAAATATATACATACGTATATTTGCACATATTGACCACATTTTTATACGTAAAAAAATAAATGATTGATGATGTACAATGTTGACTGTTTACATCATTGCATGCTTTTAATATTTTGCTTATATATTACAACTTTACACGGTAACACAGTAAACGTCAAATACACAGTAAACTGTGTTATTATTATGCATTAAGATATGTGTGTGTGTTAAATTTTATTAGTTTTTGCATTTTCTGTTAAAATTATAATTTGAATACTAATTTTGTCTTAAAGTTATATCATTTTATTCATTTTTGTTTCAGTTTTAGTACATTAGGTTAAACTAAATGAAAATAATAAATCAACTAACTGAAATAAAATACGTTTGCATTTTTTAATTTTTGTTAGTGATTATTTTATTTCGCTTGAGAAGAACTGCAACATTCCGCTCTAGCAATTTTTTTAATTATTTTTTTATTAAACACTTTCTTAGGGAATACAAAAGTGAAAAAACATATGCCAAGGAAAAGAGCCTGGGGTTCAAGGATGGCCAAATAATACATAGCAATTAAAATTCAAGAGAGAGAGAGAGAGAGAGAAATAAAAATAAAATAACAATAAAAAACTATTGCATTAAAAATCAATAAATAAATAAATGGGGGGAATTTTTTTTTTTTAAACACCAAAAAGTGAGCATGCATTCAAAGTTTTAGTTGCCTTTTTGTTACAGGAGGTAGACAATAACTTAATACAGATCTTAATATCTTCTTGAAAGTGAGAAAAAAGGGGGGTAACTTTCATAATCTTGCATTTATGACTAAAATTAATTTTGCAAGCAAAATAATTAGGTTGCAAAGAAAGTAAACATTTTCATATTGCTCCTCAAAAGTGAAAAATCCAAACAAAACATCATTAAAGTAAAAATCAAAGTCATTATGTCTCGCCAAAGTTGCTCTAGCAATTTGTTTATTTCTGTGTCTCGGCGCCGGCGTGACGTCATCACGGCGCGACTGCAGCTCGGAGAATCCTCGTGTGTTCTCTTGTTGTTGTTGTTGTCATAAATCTGCGCGAATAAACCATGAGCTCTCAAATAAAGTGTGTCGGATGGGTGAAGCGCGGAGTCGCTAAAGAAACGCCGGATAAAGTGAGTCTGTCATTTGATTGTGTTTATACGGCGTGCTTCTATACGCACACGTGTTTGCGCTTGAACGCGAGTGAAATCATCGTTACAGCTTGAGCTCAGCAAAGAAGAGCTGCAACGCATCATATCGGAGGCTAAAGAGGAGTTAGCGTGACATTGCATTTGCTGACTACTGCTTTATTTCAGGCTCGAGTTAAAGCACGTTACATTTAAAGACCATCCCATCTAGACTGTAGGTTAATTTGATGACATTTCTATGTGAATTCTTCAGGGATCCCGGTGATGAGGAGGAGGAGGTTGATGAAGGTGTTGTCAGTGAAGAGGCATCAGCCCCGGCTGCTAGTGAAGAAATAAAAGAGGAGAGAGAGGATGAGGATGATGAGCTTGCAGAGTACGGACTGGACAACTATGATGAAGAAGACATCGGTATGTTAATGACACTCGTTATTCATTGCCTGATTGGTTGATCTGGCTTTGAATGTTAACATACGAAAAGCGTAAGAGTCGCTCAGTAGTTAGTCTCGCGTAGCCAGACCTTCAGAACAGGCTTGTTTGAGATGCAGTGAGAGGAGGAGTGAAATAAACGCAGTCAAGACAGACAGCTCTGACCTCTCCAAGTGAACAGAGACCAACGAGCAGGCTGCAGCAAAGTCACATTGTGCAGAGGACTCATCTGGTTCCTGTCGTCTTGTCCCGGTGGCCGTCTGAGACAAGGTCTTTACAGGGGATTTTTACTTTAATGCAAACATGTATTTTAGATTTTTATAGAAATATGACAACAATCACATATCTCACACCGAGATCGCACTGTCATCGTGTTTGGGAACATTCATGCATAATTTAAATGCATAATCATATGAAATCAGATAAAAATAAAATATTTTAGAAGAGAACCGCAGCATCACAATTGTCTGAACTAATGAGCATTAAGCTGTGACGTCAGTCAGTCGTTTCCCATCTTGCTTTTGCTCAGCGCAGTCGGTGGAGAGCAACTGCGCTCGACTGCACAGTCCGACACAGCCGCCTCGCTGTCGCGAGAGTTTTTTTGCACACGTCAGCATGACATCAGAGCAAGTCGGAGGTAAGTCGGACACTTTTCTAACCGGCATGCATCTCGCGGTGATCACCGGTGATCGGTTCTGCGCAGATTTTGCTAATCTCAAACAAGCCAATTGGTAGCTTTCATTGGCCAAGGCCCGCCCATGAGACCGTTTGACCGACATGTCAAACAACCAATCACAGTTCGTTTCGTTCAGCGCGACACACACGTCTCCCGGAAATCCTGTAGAATTCAACCAATCCGATGACCACTTCGACACTCCCGAAGTGTTTCCACTTTTTGTTTATTTTATTTATTTAGTCATTTATCAGACGCTTTTATCCAAAGTGACTTACAGATGAGGACAACAGAAGCAATCAGTTGTAGTATTAAAACAACTAAAAACAGATCCAAAACTAAAAGCTACAACTTTATAAATACTACCTATACACATTTAAAAAAATAAAGAAATTAAATAAAAATGACAAATGCATACAACTAAATTTCAAAACTTAACATTTAAATGAAAAACAAAAAATAAAGCTAAAAACAATTCAAAGTATTAAAGAACAAAAAGGTATAAGAGTATAATAATGATTCTAAAGGCCCGTTCACACCAAGCATGATAACTATAAAGATAACGATAAAGATATAGTTCTAAAAATTGTTCTCAATATTAAAGAATAGCATAGTTCACACCACAACGATAACGATACAGAGGAACGATATCGTTGTGATCACTTTCAAAACGATTTTTTCCCCAGATGATGAACGATAAAACACTGACAGCCAATCAGAATCCATCCTGCTGTAACGAGCTCAAGAATTTAAAGCGGCAGACGCATGTGCACTTGGAACAAACAGACGATATCGTTCGCTGGTGTGGACGCTAATATCGTTATCATTCTTGGTGTGAACAGGGCTTAACATATTCATTACTGGAAATAAAATATAAAAAACTTAAGCTTGTTTTATTTTCAATTAATTGCCAAGGCAACATTTCTCCTTTTTATTTAGTTGAATTATTTTACTTAAAGTACTAAAATAACTAAAACTATATAAAAATCATGTAGACAAATAAATAAATAAAAATACAAATTTTAATAATGCCCAACAAAATTTCTAAAACTTGACCTAAAATTAAATTGAAAATAAAAAAATAAAAACGAATTCAAAATATTCATTAAAACTATATATATATATATATATATATATATATCAGTGATACTAAAATATTTCAGATCAGGGTTATTAAAACTAAAACCATAAATAAAATACATTTGAACTAAAATAAAATAAAATATAAAAAACTTAATTTTAGCTAGTTTTCAAGGCAACAGTTCTCATTTTCGTTTAGTTAAACTTGAAGTAAAAATAATTAAACTAAGGCTGAAATTAAAAAACAAAACATGTTAACATAAAATGTTTTACAAATAAATAAAAATGGGGGAGGAAAAAAAACAACTAAATTACTAAAACATTAAATAAAACTGAAATGAAAACAAAAAATAATTCTAATTACTGATTAAAAACTATAGTAGTATACTATTGATTATACTAAAATAACTCATAAAATAGACTCAGATCAGGGTTAATATAGTTAATAAAACTAAATCCATAAAACAATTTCATTATTTGAAATAACAGTGTTTAAAAATAAGCTTCTTTTATTTCAGTTGGTTGCCAGTTATAAATAAAAAAATGCAAATATGAAATTATAACTCAGTTGCAGATTATAAAAATATAGTAGTATATCAGTGATAGTAAAATAGTCTCAGATCATAAAAAAGCTTTTTACCTGAAATTATATATATATATCAGGGGCGTAGATTATGCAGGGGACGCGGGGTCCCCCCCACTTTTAATATCACGTAAATTCGTCCCCCGCTCTTTTTCGGGCAAGTGTGTTCACACAGAGGTTTTCAAGAGCCGGTGTGAATAAATATAGATTTAAATTCAAGAGACAGGATAGTCTGTGCATGATCTGATGTTTTATTCAGACCCAGAATAAAGCGAGATGAACATCACGGAGCGCTAAACACTCGTGCAGTGTGTGTTTCATTCATACTCGAAGCCGGAGGCGCTCTCGCAAGCAGAAAGTCGTACCAGGAAATCCCTAATATGGACAAAAGTGTCCAGCTATCTCTGTATGAAAACTGTTGTTTTCAGAAAAACAGAAACGTTTGGAAACATGAAGACATTAAACATACGATTGTGACAATATATGTGTTTGTCAAGTCATCTCCAGGTAATAAATAAAGTATATGAACAATGCAGAGCTAACTGACAGCATTTATTACAGTATTGAAACTATTCTGCCGCCTTATGTGATAAAAAAGTGTTTGCAGTATAGAAGCAAATCATTATTATTGGTTATTGTCCAGCAGTTATCTGATTTCTAAGCCAATTAAAAGCTAGAAATGAGAGAAAAATTAAAGTTGACTATAAACCAGTCAAAGATTTGTTATGTTTTATAAAGAAGTCTCTTCTGCTCACCAAGCCTGCATTTATTTGATCCAAAGTACAGCAAAACAGTAACATTTAGAACTATTTTACTAGGCTATTTCAAATAACTGTTTTCTATTTGAATATATTTAAACATGTAATTTATAGTGATTTCAAAGCTACATTTTTTGCATCATTACTCCAGTCACACGATCCTTCAGAAATCATTCTGATATTCTGATTTGCTGCTCAAAAAACATTAATAATAATAATAAT